GACAGAGGGCAGCAGGACTTCGCTAACACAAGTCGGTCGCCTAACGACATGGCTCTCTCTCTGGCGCGCATGCGCACCATCCCCTTTGGTAGAGAGAACTGTTGCCGTGGGTTACCGACTACAGTTTTGNGCCGTAGGCCTGCAGGGGGCGCTCCAGGCACTGAAGACTCTGTAGATAAGGACAGGAAGTTCAGGGTTTCAGGCAGCGCTGCTCCAATGGCTTCAGCATAAACAACAGAGCTTCACTCATAACCAGATCTGGGGTTGTATGGTTTCCATTCTCTTCACATTTTAATCTATTCTATATTTATGTGGTTTTGTCCTGATTTCAGTTAACACGAAATATTCTTATAAAATCATCCTCCCGAAGAGTTTGATCTTTAATACTTCATTCATGTTTGTGAATTTATTTAAATTAAACATGTTTGTACAGCAGCTTTGTTTTGATTTTTAATTATCTGTTTGTCAGTGTAATATTTTATGATAAAAGGTTTTTTCCTGAATTATTTCATCATTTTCTTCTCTGACTTCTCAGTTCATCTTGTAAAAACAGTTACCTGCTGCAGGAAATATTTCAACTTTTTACTCCAGTACTGCTCTGGTTTATACCATGCTAGTTATAAATTACCAGTCATATAAATAATCTCCTCCTCCTTTGAGTTTTTGTTAGAAATGCTGAGCTTTAGTTTTCAGGAAAGGAAGTAGAAATACTAATACTTTGATTTTTAAATGCTCATCCAGACCTGGTACCTGGAGAATACTCAGATTAAATTCCTTAATCTCAAGCGTGTGTAGGAACCTTTTTAAATTTCTAATCAACRGATTAAAACAGTTTTTAAAACATAAATGTAAATCTCAGACTGTGGTTTGTGTAAAACGTTTGTTTTCAGACTGGTATTTTGTTGTTTTCTCAAACCCTGACTTGACTTCCTGTTTCCTCTCAGAGTCTGTCTGCTGTGATGATGATGATGGAGGACAGCAGATGTTGTAACCTGAGGATAAAACAGCTGTTCCAGGTGGTTCTGGAGCAGCTGTTTCTGTCAGTCAACAAGCAGAGCAGCCCACCTCACACCAGAGCTCCTGCTCCTGATCGAAGGAGTAACTCTCTATGGCTGAGTTGATCTGCAGGACAGAGTTCACTCTCATCTGCTGCGAGGACCCCAGTCTGCTCTCCAGTCTGACTCCTGCAGACTCAGCTTGAGACTCCTCCACGCTGTTGGACTCTGGGTTCTCCTGGGCCTCCTCCTCCCCGCCCTGAGCCTCCTTATCTTCAGCATCATCGCCCTCAGCTTCATCCTCGCTGTCGTAGTCCACCTGAAGGACAGAAGGCAGCACAGTCAAGGCTTCAGCAGCTGCAGGCTCACTGGTCCAGAACCAGGAGTCAAACAACTGGACAGGAAGTCTGGTTCCAGAGCAGAACCAAAGCTTTGACAGCCTTCATGTAGAAGAACAGATTAGAGTTTCCATCCAGACAAATGTAACCTCTTGTAGCGGTTTCCTACCTCAATTTATGATGG